TGTGCGTACACACTTTAAGAGGGACGGGAGAAGTCACACCTTGAAGTACTCAGGGGATATTCCAGGCTTTGTACTCAGGAGTGACATTTGCAGTGCTCTTGGACTATATGTGGTGGCCTCAAACATACACCTTCTCTCTTTTACTATTCCTCGGGCTCAGTTTGGGTCCTCTTACATGGTCACTTAGAATTGATTCTGGAAAATTAAGAGGTGCTTCTTAACCAAAATAAAGTCTGCATCAATCCAAATACTAACCCAACAATGAAACTGGTCTTTAAAAGTCTTATTTTAAAAGATGCAAAATTCTGGACATTTCACTTTTAGGCTTTCAAGCAAGTTTAATTGAAAAGCGTCTTGATTCACATATACATATTTAGCACTAAATCTTACATGCAGGAGAAACTCCTTAACACCTTCTAAATGAGTAAAATAATTTGAATTTTAAATTACTGTTTTTTAAATAAATTATATTTAGACTTAAAATTTGAATGCTAAGTACAGCCTCATCTTAAATATATATGTATATTTTATACTGTAGTCATATATTTATGTCCTAAGTATATGTTTTATTGGTATGCCCCAGTATATTTGTGCCAGAGAAATGTCACAGTCATTTTTTATTAGTGAGTATCTTAGTTTTACCAGTTATTAAATATATTTAGTACCATCCTGCAAGTACATAAAAAAAATCAGTGAAAGAGAATATACATGAGAAAAATTGAAATGCATATTTTATAATTTTCTCTTTACAATGTATATCACTTGAGAGCTGTATAATTAAGAAACAAAAATCATTTTTAATCATATTAGTACTATTTTCTCATTTTGAGAATCTAGAACAATTCATAAGGGTAAATTTTAAATTTCACTATTAGAGTTTATTATATATAAATAACATATAAGATATATCTGTATTTTAAAATAAACTTAATTATAAAACTAATTCACTAAGTATTTTGAAGTCTATGGCATTTATCATTAGTTTGAAATACATATAACATTATTAAATTAATACATAAATGCTTCTCTAAATTATAACATCTGATTTTACCCTTCAAATATCCCATGAAAGACTCAGTCAACTTTTCAAAAGTCTTATATATGATAAAAAAAAGTATTTCCATTTTTCTAGCTAGCAGATAAGTTATTAGGGATAAATATCTATGGTTCTGATTAGCACCTTAAGACTGTGTACAATGAATACAACTGCTGTCCTTCCATTCGTTGTAATTTTTTGTCCTAAGTCAAAACTTGAAAATTTCATATCTAGGTCACGGTTATTCTCAAAGACACATGTCTGAGTCCATCCTAGTTTATCAGAAATAGACTTTCACAAGTAGGATTTTAGATTTGCTTTAATCCAGATGTTAGATTGAATCAGGATGTTTCATAATTTTCATTAAAACAACCAAAAAGTGAATTAAAACCAGAATGTAAAATGCACAAGTTCTTCTCATGTGGTTTGGCCCTTTATCCATGGAAATTTGAATTAGAGCAGAGATAGTGGAGATTATTTGGCTTTCTATGCTCTTTTCAGAAAAAAAAAAAACAATTACTCAACACTCCCTGGAAATCAACCTCCTGTAAGTAAACAAACAGAAAGAAACTCTCAGTTTTACCAAGACTGCTACTTCCCCCCATCAGCATTATAGCATCTGCGGGTGGCAATATTAACCACTGTGAAAAACAATGATTTAGACTAGTGCTTACCAGGGCCGGAAAGATAGTAGAGCAGGTAGGGTGCTTGCCTTGCATGCTGCCAACCCAGTTTGATCTCCAGCATTCCATGTGGTCTCCAGGGCACCACCAGGAGTGATTCCTCGGTGCAAGTCAGGATAGCCCCTGAGCATCACTGAATATGATCCCCAAACAAAACAGTAATGCATACTCCACTCCCCAAATGAACAACTGCTCTTTCTCAGGTACTAAAAAGAAAACTAAATATACAATAAACACTCTAGTATTACAAAAAATGCTAAATGAACAAAAATATAAAAGATAAACTGAAAAGAATAGCATCCTGGTGTTACCACTGCTTTTATTAAAGCTAGTTTTCAAAATAGTGACTTAACCCCCATCCTCTCAACTACTACTGCTGTGATTATCTGTAGGTAACTGTAGCCTTTCTCTTACTGGGTTGAATTTATCCTCAGGAACATGGTTTTGACCCCTTCAATGTTTTCTCACCACTAAATCTCACTGGCTGTATATTCAGCCACAATCACCAAGAAACATTGTAAAAGTATATCCATTAGCCGGCTGCCCTGGGCAAAGTATAATACATCTTGGGTTCTTAAAAGGACAAGATATCTCAAACTCAGGGATAAAATTATAGGGTAGGAAGGAAATACATTTCCTTCTTGGTATACCCTATGTTTAAAAAATAATTTGTAAAGGTAAACATACAAACTGAGGAAGGAAACCATGATGGAGGTTTGCAGCAGCCATGAATGCCAGCAAGTTGATGAGAAATGAGACTCAGCTAGAAATGGTTTTGGAGAAAAAGCTGGTGGTTTGGTGGCTGGCAGAAGTACTCTGAGTCATACCAGAGTGTGTCACAGCTGGTGGGACTTTGGCCAGGTCCCACATCAGCTACAGAGACTCCAATATACTCTGATACATGTTTACAAAGTCAGAAAAGTAGTGCCTTTAAAAACCACATTGTACATAAAATAATTAAAATTGGGCTTCAACTCTGCTACGAATATCTATGTAAATCACAGTGCCTTAAGATCTAACAAAATACAAGTTTAAAAATTGGTTTTTAATTGGTGAAATACTGTTAACTTGGAGATTATTACAGTATTTCCATTTTCAATGAGTCCCAATAGCAGATGTTTGCCCACATTTTATAAGAGGTCAAGGAGGCAGGATTCAGTATGAATTTTTCACTAGGAAGGAACTTTGAAAGTTTTGACAGAATTGCAGTGTGGATTTTTCATGTTTCTGTAACAGAAACATCATTAAATCACCTAAAACACATTGATCAACCTTTGTTGAACTGTGGCCACTCTGACTTTGTTTCTTTCCAATGCCTCTCCCCCGCCTCCATTATATTCTATTAGTTGACCCCGTAGTCTCATGCCATGATCCCCCAATTATGTAATTTTACCTGTAGCTCACTTGGAATATTCTGGCTACCCACTAGACCATGTCACCCTAGTTCAGAAACGCTGGGCTAAAGAACAAACATACATTTCTAAATGTATGGATAATGGGAAATGCAAGATCAAAGCATTGGCAAATTTGGAATCTGTTGAAAGCTTGCTTTCTAGTTTTTAGTTGACTGTCTTTTTGCTGTGTCCTTATGTAGTTGAAGGATGGAGGTTGCTCTTGAGTTCTTTCTCATCAAAACACTAATGCAACTCATGAATGATCCAATTACTTCCCTACATCTCGCCTCTGAATAACATTATTTTAGTTATTTAATCTTGTATATGAATTTAGGGTACTGGATCATAGGTATATCTACTCCTTTTTAAAATTAATAAGATAGTAAAATTTTATATAGTTTTTAACCATTTTAACCTTAATATACAAAGAATATAACTCTATATATCAATAAGCTTGGTACTATGGCCCTTTTTATTATGGACATATAATTCATTAAAATGTTGCCATCTTGACTGAGATTAGTACCAGGAATTTTACTCCATGGCTTGGAGGCCAACCACATATGCTAGGGGAAAAGGGAGCTCAAATAGAGAAGGGAACACCAAATAAAGGTGTGGGGAGGATCCTCCCAGGATGGGAGAAGCATGCTGAAAGTAGACTATAGACCAAACATGATTGTTACCCATTGTCTCTTTTGCAAACCACAACATCCAATAAGAGAGAGAGAACAAAAGGGAATGCCCTGCCACAGAGGCAGGGTGAGATGGGGGGGATGGGGGGTGGGAGGGATACTGGGATCCGTGGTGATGGGAAATGGGTACTGGTGGAGGGATGGGTATTTGATCACTGTATAATTGAAACCGAAGCACAAAAATTTGTAAATCTACAACTGTACCTCATGATGTCTCACTAATAAAAATTTTGAAAAAAAAAGTTGCCATCTTGGGAAGTCCTTTTGCTAAGAATCACAAAATCTCTGTGTTAAATATCTCCTTCAAGTACATGCTGGATTACCAACAGATCTGATATCTCTCATGTATATGGGTTATATTAAGCTTTAAAGAGTCAATGTCATTCTTTCCCTTTCACTCTAATTCATATAAATATGTGTTATGTGTGAGTATGTATGTCTATGTTATAGCTACCCATATTTTCACCTTCTCTGTTTTATCTTTTTGTCATATCCTTGATCTAACAATTATTGAGCTGACAACATTATCCCTAACATTATCCTTGACCTAAAAATTAACATTAACACTACACAGTCCTTAGATTAAGCCACTCTATAGCATCGTAATTGCCTGTGGCACTTCACAAGTAATTTGGGACAGTGGAGAAGAGACACTGTCACCCGGAACCTACCCTTACAACCCCTAAGTACTTTGAACCCAAATACTTGCAGAATGGTTAACAGATTCAGCTCTGCCTTCTTGGGCAGTAAATGATTCATGTCAGGAGTGTGAGGTAGATGGTAGCTGTGTTGTCTGAAATAGCAGCAGAAGCAGCAGCAACTGGATATCAACTGAATTGTAAAATATGTAGCGTCACTTAACTGTTTTTAAAAGATATAAAGATAAACCTCAAACAAAGGAAAAATAAGCTGATATTCAAGCCAGATGATTTATTTTCTTTGCAGTTTCTGAGTAAATTAAACTAATGGGACTTCTGAAGAAACATCTTCTCTCAAACCTTTTTTTTTTTTGAAAAAAACTTGATCAGGTAGGAAAATTAGAGGAAGATATATATACCACAGAGTTTTCCAATAATTTTAAAACTGGTCTCATGGTGTCTTTATTGAAGACCAAAGACAGTTGCTTCCATTTATCTTATTTATTTATTTTTAATTAACACTAACTAAAAAGCTCACTTTCTCTCTCTTTTTGCAGCCAGACTATGTTCCAAGGAAGATAATCCCAGTTACAATTATCAAGCAAGGTAATTTGTGTGGGTCAACTCTGAAATATATATATATATATATTCACATATATATAAAACTGTTGGATATATATGGAAACCTGTATTTTGGGGGGGGTCACACTGGTGATGCACAGGGGTTACCCCTGGCTCTGCATTCAGGAATTACTCCTGGAGGTGCTCAGGGCACCATATGGGATGCTGGGGATTGAACCCGGGTCAGCTGCTTGCAAGACAAACACCCTACCAGCTGTACTATCACTCCAGCCCAGGAACGTGCATTTTTAAATAAATGTTTTATATACTTTCTAATTAAGATAATTAAGTATAGCTCTATTTTTCTCAACTTTCTGATGTTTTTAAGTATGGTTTGTCAGTATGGCCTAGTTCCTTAGAAGTGAATAGTTAACTATTGTTCTTAAGCCAAGAGTCGAAGTCATGGACAAGTTACTGCTATTGGTCAAATTTGACAAATCGCCCATTATCAGGGCCAGATAGCTCACACAGGAGTCAGGGGCATATGTCTCAAGAATCTGAGTTTTATCTCTAATACCACTGTGTCCCCAAAGTTTGACTAAATGTGTACCTGCATTGTGCTTCAATGCTAGTATCATTGACCACTAGCCCAACTGGGTGAGCATTGCTGAGAGTAGCCTGGGAGGGGACTATTTGAGCCTACTTGAAAGATCCTATAGAGAATAACCATAACAAGGATTAAATTTTTAAAAGCTATATGTGTGACTTTGTTCATGGGTAAGTCAACATGATTTATTGAGCTGGAGAGATAATACACCAGGTAAGGTACTTGCCTTGCATATGGCCAACTTAGGTTCAATTCCTAGCGCCCCATATGGTTCCCCAACACTTCCAGGAGTGATCTTTGAGCACAGAGCAAGGATTAAGTTCTGAACACACTGGATATGGCAAAAAAAAGATCATTTATAGAATAACTGGGGCGGGGGGTGGAGAAGTGAGTTTTGGTGGGGGGTGGGGGGATAGAGGAAGGGTAATTGGGATTAACCCAGGAATCTATATTGGAAAAGCAGGTACTCAACTGCTAACCTGCTAGATATTTGGATTAATGGGATGAAAAACTATGTTTTGAGAGTTTAGGGAAAGTAAATGTATCCAGGTTTTTAGAAGTATAATACCTTGCTTTATTTCATATCCAGTAGTTTGATTTTAACCTCTAGTTAGTTAGATTATTAAAATCATGCCATTATTTTAAAAAAATCTTTTTTTTAAATTTTATTTTCATAAGGTTGTTCACTTTAATTTATTACATTCAATATTTCAACACCTATTCCACCACCATTACACCTTCCCACCACCATTCAAGCCTTCCTGCCTGCCAGGGTGAGATGCTAGATAATTTATTTTCTATTGCTTGTTAGGAATATCATGAGAGGTCACGGCTGTGCACTTCTAGAATTCTAAAATTGTAAATATTAGGGTCCAGAGGCATCTTTGTAGGGAGCTAATCCATTTTGAGATTCATTTGGGAGTCTCTGGATCAAGGCCATCATCAGCATCTGAAGGCAGATCATGGGGATGATAGTCAGGACCCCAAGCGGGTGAGGAGATGAAAAGGGATGGCCCATCTCCACTGCCACCATGTGGTCTGGAGACAGTTTCTGAACCCGGCATACCTGGGTTTTTCTTCCGGAAGCTCGTGGCCACCAAGATTTCATCTGGAGTGGGCAGAGAGGGCACACCCACTCCATCTGAAGTGCCACAGTGGAATTGGCTCAGTATGGGGTACGGAGTGATCTCTAGTGAGCTGCTGAGTTCTGGGATTCATTGCTGTGTCTCTGGATCAAGACCACTGATGCTCTGAGATTCCAGAAAAATCTTGAAATTGATTGGTCACCTTTTCCTTTTTAGAAGCAAAATATTTATTTGAAGGAAATTTTCTTTTAGAACTGAGAGGAGGAAAAGAGAGGAATATGTGTACGAGAGAGAACACAGCATTCTCCAAAGAGAAAAAAAGCCAGAATTGGACACTTAAACACATGCTTAATTTTAAGAAAACATAACGTTCAATTGTGCTCTCAAAGTAGGGATAGTTGTTCTTAAAGTTACCAAAGATTGCTAACTTTGAGAGTATTATTTTATACGTTTTACTAAAATTTCCTTATGGTTGCCTTATTTCATGCTAGTTTTTTTAAGTTGGAGTTGAAATTTTCCATCAAATAGAATGGGATGCTTTTGTCAGAGTAACCTTTCATTGCTTCAAGGTTTAGATGTTAAAGGTAAGATTGCCTTCTAGTCCTCACTTTGGATATGTAGTCAATGAGAGATGTTCCCTTCTACTAACTGATGATTTGGGGTCAGGGTTTTTCCAGTGCCAATGACTTCAAATTATTAGCTTCTCATTACTTGTCATTTATTTCCATTGCACTATTATCATTTTTTATTTCTGTATTTCAACAGTGATTCAGAATGTTACTCACAGAGCTTCAATTAAATCCCCAGATAGGACACCCATGGGAGGAACAATATTGGGTGAGTCATATCATAATATCCACACCTTGTTTATGTAAATTAGGCTATTTTGCTTATTAAAGGGCTCTTGTAAAATTTTTGCACAAGGCGCAGGTCTATTAAACTGATGCTGGCCAGAGAAACTCAGTGTTTAGCAGCCTGGCTGGGACTGTTCCAGGCAAGGAAGCAAGAGTTTTTATCTCTGTCATGGGATTAGACAGATCCAAGCCAAGCCTACTGGGAAAAGGAGCTCATGCCACCTGTTCAGCGTCATTGTCTTAGTTATAAAAGAGTTTTTCTCATATTAAAATTAAATCTTTTAAAAGTTCCTATGAATAATAACATTCTTTATTTGGCACAGATTATTAACAGACATTTTTTGATTTTTTGAGTCTTTGGTTTAAAAGTCAGGTGATTTTATTAGTTCTGCTCTGAATATGTAAAAGATAATATTTTAAAAGGTATTGTCATTGTTTCCAAAATTTTTCTTGGATATGATTCTCTGAGCTTTATATCATGGTGCATTTTCTTGTTTTTATATTTTTGCAGTCCACCTTATTATTCCAGGTCTTAATGAAACCACTATAAAACTTCCATCATCTATGATGTTTGATATTTCAGATGCAATAAAGACACAATTAGGTAAGCAGCAAAGTTCTATGTTCAAACTTTTTAGTGATTGAGAACTTCCACTAGTAGTATTAAGATACCAAACAGTCTTGCAAATGAGATGTTTGTAGGTTGAAAATTAATAAGTATGGGACAGGAATATACACTGTTGATAAAAGGTGGGATAGCCCTATGGAATAGAATATTAAAGGAGTGTGTAAATCTACTAATCACCCAAATATACAGTCTCATGTAAGTATAACTTTCAAATAGAGTGATTTTTATGAAATACAGTTACTGTGCTATCAAGAAGATGACTAGGTATTCCATTAAGAATTGATGTAAAGGTCAGATAATAAAGAATTATTGTTTGCTTGAGATTGTGACAAAATGTTCTAGATTTTAGTGTCTGAAGAACATAAAACATTGCCATTTGAAAACACAAAACCCTTTCAAAGAAGCTCAGGAATGGGCAGGAAAGAGTACGGGGTTTCTGGTGCTTGTCTTTCAGGCAGCTAAGCCTATTTCCGTCCCAGTATCACATACGTAACACTCAGCATCACCAGAAGTGCAGAGCCAGGAGTAAGCTCTGAGCCCTATCAAGGTTTGTGTGCCCAATCCACAACCCACCTCAGGAAAAAAAAAAGCCTGTCAAATCATGCAGATTGAATAATATATTGTGTCCAACTAATTGAAAATAAACACCTGAGGAGGGGAGTTCAGACTATCTTTTTTTTCTTTTTGGTGTTTGAGATATATCCAGTGATCTTCGGTGGTTGCTCCAAGCTCAGTGCTCAGGGGTTGCTCCTGAGCGTCTTGGGAACATACTGGTGCAGAGGATCAAACCTGGTCTTCCTTCATGCACAGTACACATCCTGCTCATTGTGCTATTTCCCTGTTCTCCTCATGCTAACTTAATACTAAGTCAGCCTTTTTGTTTAATTTCAAGAACAAAAAGTATATTGCTTTTGCTTTATTTTTCCTGATATTGTTCACTAAAAGGTAAAGGTAAAGGCCCTCCCGTTGATCGTCGATTTGCTCGAGCGGGCCCAGTAACGTCTCCATTGGAGACTTTGTTGTTACTGTGTCTGGCATATCGAATACTCTTGATAGCTTGCCGGGCTCTCCGAGAGGGGCGGAGGAATCGAACTCGGGTCGGCCCTAGTTGGCCGCGTGATATTGTTCACTAAATCTTTAGAATTGGAAGATTTTGAAGAAGACAAGTTCAATGCAAATAATGAATACTTTTTTCTAATTTTTTGTACACATCTTTAACATGTGGAAAATTCCTTAGGCACTAACAAATTGATTGTATGTTTGAAAATATATTTTTAGTGAATAGAAAAAATCCTATCCACCAGATATGTATCTTAACAGATGATAGTTTAAAACTTGAATTTCTAATTTACTGCTTTTTATAAAGAGTGTGTATAGTAGCACACTCTTCTTTAATAATTTAATATTAAAATATTTAATATTTAGTATTTTAATATTGCCACTACAATTATGATTTTTATAATATTACAAAGAAAAAATAAGCTTCCCTGAAGTTATGTACCATTTCAGTTAGGTCTAAGTCCTATTTTTGAGGGGGTAAAATGATAGTTGAGCCCATCCAATGATATCCAGAAATTAATTGCTTTTGTTATAAGAACACATGGTGTGAATAATGAGAGAAATAAACAAGAAAGCTAGTATTACACACACATCTCTCAGGGACATACAAAGACTCTGCCAAAACCAAGACTTTGCCTGCCAACAATTAAAGGAAACAACTGTATTGGGGAAAAAGTACAGAAGAACCAGGAAAATGAAAATGGCAGACTTGAGGCTGTTCTGTGGTGGCATTTTACTTTGCTGTTTCCAAGACAGCAGTTATGCAGAGCATAGGTGAACGTGTCTGGGTTCATAGAGGCATAAATAATCCCCCCCATTCAAATATCTTCTCAATCTTCTAGTTTCTGTGACACCTGAAATGCTATACATAGAAATGGCATGCTTTTATAAGGCACTTGATATGAAGAATCTCTTTGGAAAGCTATTTATAATTTTTTAAAATTCATTAACAGACTAACTTTAGGTTACGCCAGCTATTTCATGCACAGAGGAATTTCCAACTCCTGGGGATGGGGTGGGGTTGAATATAGTAGCAAAAGTGAAGTAACTCAGAGCACTACTGGAAGTCTAGGATCTGAAGTTTACAAAGATAGAGAAAGAAAGGTCCCACTCAGCCAGTAAATGACAGATAGAGGCTTTTGTACTGAAAAGAGCAGATTAGCAAGGTGTCCTGAAACAGAAGACAATTTAAAAAAGAGAGAATTTTAAAGGAACTTTAGAGTCCTGCGTTTAAAAGTTTATAACCCTCTGGTGGTTCTTACTAAATGGATGTGATCATAAAAGATTGTAGTTTGTTTTTCCCCCTATTCTGAACAAAATGGTCTTAAATTGTGACTACAAAAAGAGGAGGAAAAAATTAATAAGATTTACAATATATTTGCAAGTTTTAAAAATCAGAATATCAATTAAATAAATATAGAATGTCATAAAATAATACTGGACTCATTTTTTTGAGTTTTGGGCCATGCCCAGTGATTCTCAGGAATTACTCCTGGCTTTACAATCAGGAATTACTCCTGGTGGGCTAGAGGTATGTATGGGGTGCCAGTAATCAAACCTAGGTTGGCCACATGCTCCACCCACTATAATATCTCTCCAACACTGTATTCATTTTTTTAAATAATTCCAGAGCCCCTTCTCTCTATGCCTTGCTAATTTAATTTGAACAGTGGTATTAAACAATTCTCTCGTGCAAACATGAGGTACAAATTCATTTTTACGTTAATCAAAAACAAGCACTTGACTATTGAGTGGCTACATGAGGACTTGTAACACCGTTTCTGGCATTTTAGATCACTTCTGAAAAAGACTGTGCAGGAATTAATGGTATACGTCCATTCTAAAGATTGAAAATTTATTTGCTTCTATTCACATTATGAAATGGGTGGTTTTTAATTGTCTTTTTAAGTCCAACAGAACTATTTTGTGCTCCAATTAAGTGAAAAGAATATGACCTTTACAACAGGGAAATAAATGGCAGAAAGCTTATAACACCTACATTCTCAAGGAACTTTGAGAGGACAGATTTTATCACTAGTTCTCAACAGGGGCAATTTTGTACCCAAGGGGATGTTTGGCAATGCCTGGAGAGGTTCTGGGCTGTTGCAACTATGCAAATGCTATTGCTATCCAGGGAGAGAGTTGGAAAGAGGCCAAAGATACAGTTTACAAATCTGATGGACTACAGAATAGCCCCCACCGCAAATCAAAGAACAAGCCTGAAATCTTAATAATGCCAAAGTTGAGAAACACAAGAATTTTAATTTTTAGACTCTTAAAAAAAACCTCATCTGTTAGATAATTAGTTCAAGGTGACATGATCAGAGTATCTAAAAGATGAATGAATTCTTTCATGTCACAAAGCTTGTCTTAAAAGAGTACAAGTCATTGAATGGGACTGAATAAAGTTAACCATAAGTGGAGTTTTTATTTATTTTTTTAATTTATTTATTTATTTATTTTTTAATAGTGAGGCACCATGAGGTACAGTTGTAGACTTACACATTTTTGTGCTTGGGTTTCGATTATACAATGATCAAACACCCATCCCGTACATAGCCTTGGTGATTTATGACCATAATTGCTTGGTTTTCCAGTTTACAATTTCACAAGTACCTTTTTGGGGTTTTTTATATTTATTTATTTTTTAATAGTGAGGCACCATGAGGTACAGTTGTAGACTTACACATTTTTGTGCTTGGGTTTCGATTATACAATGATCAAACACCCATCCCTCCACCAGTGCGCATTTCCCACCACCACGGATCCCAGCATCCCCTCCCCCCGCCAGCCCCCATCCCACCCTGCCTCTGTGGCAGGGCATTTCCCTCTCTCTCCTTTTGAGTGCCATGGTCTGCAAAAGAGGCATTGAGTGGCAATCATGCTTGGTCGACAGTCTACCCTCAGCATGCTCTCCCATCGTGGACGGATCCTCCCAACACCCTTTATTTGGTGTTCCCTTCTCTTTCTGAGCTCCCCCTTCCCCTAACATGTGTGGTTGTCCTCCGGGTCATTGAGTAAAATTCCTGGTACTAATCTCTGCCATACTTGGGTGTTAGTTTCCTATTTTGTTACTTTATGTTTCCCAGATGAATGCAATCTTTCTATGTCTATCCCTTTCTTTCTGAGTCATTTCGCTTAACATGACACTTTAGTGCATCTTAGTCATGGGGAAAACTTTGAATTAGAAATGTACTGTATTTGTAAAAGAGTACTTACATTTTAGAAGGAAACTTTCAGTCCAAAGAGAGAAAAAGATGAGCAAAAACTTATTTCATCCTTTGAATTGAAGGTCCCACAGGAAACCAAGAGATTGATGTTAACATGTGGCTCAAATAACTTTTGGTATTTTATTTTTGCCACAAATATTTTCAAATAACTTTGTTTCCTATGAGTATAATTTGTGTTTTGCTAAAAATTTCTCTGTCATTATATTTTTATCCTGCATAATGAAATTTTTTATTCATTAATTTTGGGGAGGGCACACCCAGAGGTGCTCAGGGTTTACTCTTGGTTTTGTACTCAGGGGTCACTCCTGGTATCGCTCAGGGGACCATATGTGGTGCCAGGGATCTAATCTGGATCAGCCTCATGCAACGCAGTACCCTACCCACTGTAATATGTCTCCAGCCGCTCTTCATTAATGTTCTTCAAGTAGTTTGTTTAAACTTGTATAAACCTTGTTATAGTTTTGTAGAGAGTATTTGTACTATGACCTTGCTTTCATAAAATTCTATTTATAAATTAGAGTTATTTGATGTGTATCTATGTTTTGGGTTATGATTTTTTTTTCTCCATTCCAATGCAATTTCAATCTTAAAAGAATTTCCTGGTTAGAGGCTAGAGCAATAGTACAGCAGGTAGGGCGTTTCCTTTGAATACAGCCAGTCCAGGTTTGATCTATGTCATCTCATATGGTCCCCCAAGCCCACCAGGAGTGATTCCTGAGCACAGAGCCAGGAGTAAACCCCGAGTACCCACTGGGTGTGGTCTTAAAATGAAGGAAGGGAGGGAGGGGAGGAAGAAGGGAAGAAAGAAGGGAAAGAAGGAGAGAAGGAAGGAAGGAGGAAAGGAGGGAAAGAGAGAAAAAGGAGGTGGGGAGGGAGTTGGTTTTCTAGAGAAGGACCAGGCAGGTGCATGGTCAGGGGCACATTTTTTTGCATGTAATCCCCAAGCATTACACAGTTCCGTGAGCAGACTGGCATGACTCTGGTGGGCTCTCAGACCACAAGTACCTAAGCAACACTGCATCCTCACATGCTAGCATGGAATGGCCTTCAGCTTCAGTGTGAGAGATCCCTGCACCCCTTGAGCACAGCTTGGGAGTCTCTCCTCACAAAAAAAAGAATAATGAAAAAGAACAATTAGCTGGAGATGATAAGGAATTCTGAAAACTAATCGATTCCCACCATTTCCTGGTATAAATGCATAATACAAATTTGTTGACTGTTGGTAGGGAAAAAAAGGACAGGACGGAGTTTTAGAAATAGTCTGTTATTTGATTTTGCTTTGAGTGAATTGTTTTTGGAGACCAAGTGAAGTAAAATGTTTTCCAACTTTCTTTTTAAGCTAAGAATGAAACCTTGTCATTGCCCGCAGAATCTAAAACACCAGAAGTAGAAAAAATTCCAGCACAGCCCATAACAGGTAATGAGATCTCTATGTTGCTAACTTGAGAAAACAAAAATATTTTTAAACCAAAGTTGAAAGTAATAGTTGAATGTAAATCATTTTGCCCTGATTCATTTGACAATTTATCAATTCATTCTTTGGTAAGCATTCACCATGTATTTTCCTATTGTACCTGCAGACATCTTGCTGAATTTTAAAGATTAAGATAATCAAAAAACTGGGCAAATAAAATATTTAAAAAATATTATTAATCTGATTTGTGTATTAATGGATGCCAGTTCTGTGTACTTCTTTTTTGGAACACATGAAAGTTAGACCAAACCCAGAAAGCCAGGGTAGGGAGTAGTGTTTGCTCAGGATTGGGGCAAGCCCGAGTCTTTAACTTAAGTAACTTGAAAATAAGTGTGAAGTGCAAATGTCAGTTAGTAACTCTAAAAGGTGTCAAGCGTGTCATGATATTTGGTTGTCTCATCATTTTATTCTAATTTGTAAAGTTGTGTTTTTACCTTCCAGTGATTCCTGAATCCGTTCCAAGGACAGCTAGACCAACTCTATCTAGTTCTCTAGACATTTCGGCAACATCACTGGGTAAATCTAAAGTCTTTCGTTCCTTAAATGATAGCTCTCAATGCTCATAGGAAAAGAAAAGTGACTTCCCCAATGCCATAGACCCACCTCCCTTCCTCATTACCTGCAGAAGTTAACCTTCCTATTTGGAAGTTAACCAACTCCACTGAAGATTCAACAATACACCTTTGATGCTGTTGACTAATATACACATCCTTTTCCCAGCTTCTTAGGATGATGAAAAACAGAATGTCAGACTTTTAAGTGCAAAGCTAGACCTGAGCTGGGAAAACTAGAATCTTCACTCTGTGTTTTTTGTTCAGTTTGACTGGTCCATACTGTTATTTTCATTTCATTTCATCATCCATACTGAATTTGATGAAAATCACATCATGCTTTTTAAAATAATTTTCTTTTATACGCATTAACTGCTTCTTGGCCTAGGAGAATTTAAGTTACTTTTGTTCTCTTTTGAAAAAAAAATAACCAGTCTTGGATTCTGTTGATATCTAACACAGTCTTATGAAAGGCTTAGATATCTTAAGTCTCATGAAACTTTCGACAAGAGGTGGCATCAGCTGCCAGGCATATTCAATCTTATTATTAACATGCTTCATGTGATCGTGGTTAAGCTCTAACACCAAATTCTGATTCATGTGTTGCTAACTGAATTGTTCTTTATTCTCAGAGAAGATATCCCAGAAATATCACAAACTTTTCTAATGCATAGGTTTGAATTTCCACTGAGCACTCTAGGTAAAATTTATCAAACATTGCAGCTTATTATTATCATGGAAATTTTATCTAAGCTTGAAAAAGTTCTTAGGCTAATTCATTCAAATTTTTATCCTCAAAGGACAGAAGAGACACATGGCCTAATTAAACTTTTCTATTTTATAAAATATTTTGAAATTCAGGAACTTAGGATCCTAATGATAGGATCTATATGACAAATCCTTTGGTAGTTTTTCTTTCCCTCAGTCGTTATGTTTTGGTATGATATTTGACTCTTAAATTGAAATCATGATGTCACTGAGCATTTTCTTATTTTCTTACTGTATTATTTATAGTAAAAAAAATAAGAGTAATCATGATCATGATCATCCTGTTGTTCGTCGATTGCCTCAGGCACAAGTAATGTCTCCTTCTTCCCAGCCCTGAGAGTTTAAAAGAGCCATATTCAATGCTCTTTCAGGGTTAGGAGAATGAGACCCATCATTGTTACTGGTATTTGGCATATTGAGTGCGACACAGGAAGTTTGCCAGACTCTGCCATGCGGGCAGGATACTTTTCGGTAGCATGCCAGGTTCTCCAAAGGAAAAACGAGATAATAAAATCAACGTTGTGCGGCCGTGAATATTGAATATGTTCTATTACTGTTTCTTTCAATAGAAGATATATTTATGAGAAAAACATCAAGGAATTCTTAGAATTTCTTTGTGAATGCAATATCAAAAATTATCAGATATAAGTTTAAAGGCATGTAGTCACAGAAAATTCTATATTGTATGCTATTTAATGTAAATTTCCCACTTCAGATGTGCTTGGTACTTGATTTGAGTCTAAATAAAATATATCTAAGGGCATATATATGTATATACCTGAGATAATTAAGAAACAAAGTTTATAAGAGTGGATAGAGGAGATCTAGTTCCTTTAGTGATTTAATTATTAAAAAAAGAGAGATAGAATAAAAGAAGCTTTACTGTATTGTCTGGCATTGAAACAAAGGATTTATGAGTCCTATTAATGGTTCCCTACTTGATACAAGTAATCTGCCCTTTGAATTTATTGTTTCTGCAAGTTTAAGAATGTTCTATTCTTTTCTCCGTTATTTGTATCTCAGGTCATATGTCTTATGTGTTTTATTACAGCTCCGAAAAGACTTCCAGGATTTCCTCAAACGAAAACACCCTTCCCTTTTGTGAAATTTGAGGGCACTTTGGGTAATAAACAACACCTCTAATCTGGTATTGAGATTTGGGTGGTGGTTTCTTCTGTAGAACAATTTACTGGGTTCTATCTCTACAAAGCTTGAGAAATTAATAAATTCCACTAACTGGGCAAAAAATTAAGTTTGATTAGCTTAAACATAAAACAAACCCATCTGATTGGATTTTCTACACATTCAGTAAAAATCACCAGTTTATTCTAAATAGTCTAGTTATTTTTCTGTTCCTTTAAGACACTGAGAGGAAGGTACAGATTTTTAAATATATTTGTCGTCTCTAAATAATTGCTGTCTAAATGAATATATATATTGATTTCTTCCTAATATATGATTATTTTTATTGGATCAGTGTGTGCTGTTTTATTTCAGGCTCAGGTAGCCCCTAATTATACCAGCAACCTACTTCTGTCTCACCTTACCTCTGGGGAAAAATAACTTCAGCAAACTCCATTTCTTTCGCTGTAGCTTCAAGTGAAAAACCATGGATGGTGTCAACAGCTAAAACAACTGATGAGTCCAAAGTTGAGCGGCCTCAAACTGGTAATTTAATTCTTTTTTAAAAATAGATTGTCAAGCTGCCTTAACATACAAATTTTAAAAATAATAAATCTGAACAACAGTTTGAATCACTACCCTTGCTTTTTGTTTACAGGTTCCTTAACTGGTAGTTAGTATTCATAGGAGTCAATGGAAAAACTGTAGTCCAGCCTTGACAGTTGATTAATTTTATATTTTCCCTGACAAAAGCCAAATGGTTTTGCATTTTTGCTTCCTGGATATATGACTAAAAGTTTAGCTAAAAAGTAAGCCAATTTATCTCACTAGATTTTGTAAAGTTTTCTCTAGGTACAAAAAAGTAGACACAAGAAGCATGAGAAGTCTGATAACAGTATAAATTATCAGTATAAGATAACTATTTTCCTCACAGTTATGTGCCTCCTTTTAAAAATATATATGTTAATGAGCATTTTTATGTTTACTCTCTGCAACATATTATTATTAAGTCCTTAAATCTGTAATTACAGAGGAAGAACCACAGGATTTATAATTAATAATGGACCTTGGTTCTAGTTCTGGTTTTTTTACTAATCATATGCATCCAGCTATTTTTATCTACTTCTCAGGGTCTCATTCTTGGACACTTTCTTGTGTAAACTCTGGCTATTTGATATTTTTATTAAAAATAAATATATATTTCACCACTAAAAATGATGTATCTTACCTTTTTCAAAACTAAAAATTGTAATTAAATACTTTCCTCATCATCTAGTAGTAAAATAAATAGAATATTCAGCTAATAATAATAAAACTTCATGTCATTTTTGTTATGATTTCCAATTTTTCATTTTCCTTATTTGTGTTTTCATTTTTGTGAATTTTGTAGTTGTGATTGTTGTGATTTTTGTGTGATTGTTTTTGGTCCACATCTGGCAGTGCTCAGGGCTTATTTCTGCTCTGCGCTCAGGAATCACTCCTAGAAGGCTCAGGGACCTATAAGGGATGCTGGGGATTGAACTTGGTTCAGCCACATGTAAGGCAAATGCCCTACTGACTGCACTATTGCTCTGACCCATCTAATTGGGATTTTCAGTTGCAGTTTTTTTATGTGATTTTTTGAGTTCCTATGTAATGTAGTTAGAAATTAAATGTAATGAAGTAAAATTTATGGACAGTTTATGACATATACTTCAGAAAGGAGTCTAGAAGGTTTGATTTGAGGAATGACATAAGAATGTGTCCTCACACACAAACAGATTTTTGTCCAATTATTCTAATATATTTTATTGAGACTTTTGATATATCATTCACTTCTGGACTATAGATTTTCTTTGGAGATATCCAAAGTGAGTTCCTTTATAGTGATCTCTGTTTTTCTCATGCTGCTTTTAGAAAGGCTGGTTTTTGCCATTTTATTGACAATGTTTCTCAGTATTCTTCAGTGTGGGTTTATTTCATTTGAAACTCTTTAAGCTTTCTGAACCAGGGTATATGTCTCCCTCCTCATTCCTGCTCATATTGGAGAAATTCTCAACTATCATTTTGTTCCACTAACAATTTTTCCCCCTTTCTTTCCTTTTGGAATTCTTATGATGTGAATATTCTTCATCTTATCACAGTCCAATAAACTCATTATGTTTAAAATTTTCCCTATCTCTTATTTTTTTTAGTTATTAATGCTTCTTATTTTTTGATGGCTGTATCTACCTTATCCTCAAAGTCACCAGTTCCATTTTGGATTTGTTTTATTCTGCCACTGCGTCCTGCTATTATATTAATTAGTTCAATTCAGTATTCTTAACCTCATTCATTTCTGTTTGGAATTTTATCACATTTTCTCTGAACTTACATTTTTTTTTCATTTCTTTGAGCATTTATTAGATTGTTATTTGAGAGTCTTCTTGTGGAATTTAGAAAGTTCTGATGTGTTAGAAGACACTTCTGAGGTTCCCATCCATTAACATCCACATCTATTGTTGTGAATTGATTTTTCCATTGTCAAGAAAGAATCTTGTTCACTGTAGAGAATCTATTTCCAATTTCCCTAACCATTAGTGAGTATGAATTTATTCATTTTTTTTCATTATCAGGGGCTCACCCTTGCAAAATTAATTAAGTGCTTCAGCCTTCTCAGAATTTTTGTGGGCCTCCTGGGGATTTGTGGTCACAAGTGCTCTGTAGCAGCTATATTGATAGGGTCTAGCGGGACTGGGATGTGAACCAAGATTCAGACTTGCTGGTTTCTGGCAGCAGATATGAAGCGAAGCAATGAGCAGTGACTAGGGATCATGGTTATGTGTACCCAATAACAGCTGTTCAGCAAGCTGATCTTCATAGTTACTTGGTGAATAGCAGTTGTCAGATCCTGGCTGCAACTGTAGAGGCACGGTTCAACAGTCTTGGTAGCAGTCTGTGGCATGGCATTGTGATTATTTGGCTAGTTCTATGGCAGTAATTTTCAGTATTCCTTACTGCTTCCAACTGAACTAATTCATATGAGTCCCAGTATGTCTGAATACTTCATTAAAGCAGGTCTGAAAGATGACCAGGGTTGCAGCCATTGTTTCTCTGTGATAGTTCTGTGCCAACTTCAAAAATGTCTGCTCTGCAGTCTGGTGTCTTAGGTTTCTGGCAGCCAGGGATACATTTTTACCAGCTTCAAAGGACTTGGACAGTGAAAACCTGGGGATTTGTGCTTGTGTCTGAGCCAGATTCATTCAACCTTGGGGGATGAAATATCAGATAATAAATACTGTACAGTGGGAGGAACTTCATGGCTATTGGGGGTGTTATATTGCTCGAGCATGAGCACCTCCCAATGCCCTGATTTTTGCAGGTATTTGTGTGGATGGACAACTTTTCTGGCGGCCCAGGTTTAAAAGGCAGCTGGTACCTCTATCAATGCACTTCACTGCATTTAAATATCCTTATGAAGAGGTTAAGCCCCTGTCCAGCTGGCTATACTTTGAAAGATGTGGCCTGCTTGTAGTACTGGGCAGGACTGAGTCTGTCAACTTGGGTAAGCAACTGTCCATCAGCCACATGCCTACTGTGCTATTATTGGCTTGAGATGGGCAGGGCTTACCTCAGGAATGATGGCCCCTAGCCATACTGCCAATGGCAGTATAGACAGTTCCCAGTGCTGGCAATAATTCATGCTTGCAGTTCTCAGTAACTTGCTTTCCAGTTTTCTGGATGTGAAAACAGAGCTGGATATGTGGGAACCGTTGATGTCCTGTTTTCCTATAACTTAGATGCTAGTATCTGAAGTCTCTTCCTAGACCATCTGGTGTCTACACAACAGCATGCAAAGTAGTACCCAGTCCCAGATACCAAATGTCATAATTGCTTTTCTCCCTAATTTTCTAAAGTGAAAAAGCACTTGAAAGATAGTAATGATTGTCCATAAATCCAGAGAAATCTCAAATTGGATCTTTGTATGTCTTGGTTCCCCTAGTCACGCTCCCTGAATATACAGTGAAGTGACCAAGTGCATGTGTAAAAGCACCTTTTTGAGTTCAGGCCACTTATGTCTAAAATCTAGATTCCAGGGAGTTTTATATTGACCCTTTAGTTACAATTCCCATCACATAGGCACAGCCACAGTGTCTCTTGAAGAAGGAACTCTAGATGTGATAGTTTATCTGTTGCATCATGAAATACCTGGTCATGTTTCCCTCATCCTTCATGAATGCATATATCCCAAAGTACACACTCTCGGGGTGGGGGGGTCTGTTGGACAAGATGAACTCTCTGATCATTTTTCTCAGTTTTAATATAGGAGTCCTGGGGTCACCTAGGTTTTCCTTGAATAATCTGCAGGCTTTGGCTTGGTTTATTTTGGTCTTTTTTATTTTTTAATTTTTTTTGCATTTTTGGGGGTCACACCCGACAATGCATAGGAGTTACTCCTGGCTTTGCACTCAGGAATTACTTCTGGTGGTGCTCAGGGGACCATATGGGATGCTAGGAATCAAACCTGGGTCGACCACGTGCAAGGCAAATGCCCTACCTGCTGTGCTATCACTCCAGCCCCTTGGTCTTATTTTTTTGTTTTTTTCCATAATTATTCAATACAAACCAAATTTTTAAGAAAATAATTTATAAGATCTTGATGCTTGGGACATTAATAATACATTAAGTCTGACTTGAGCCAAGCATTGGAGTATTGGGAAAATATGTTGGGAGGTGAGGTTTATAGACTTGCAAAGAGACAGAAAACAATGCGATGGAAAAATCCCAAAAAAGGAAAGGTTCTCTTTGCCTTTCCTTACAAGAAAGGAATCTTCTGGTCTTACCCTGATGGAGTATAAATAGTGGTTAATGCAGCAGGAAGCAGCCTCATTAGTCAACTGCCTTGCCAGGGCAACTTAACACTGCCAGGAACTTCCAGCTGTTAACTGCCAACCCTCACTGGATGAAGTGCTGGAACTGGTCCACAAGATCATTGGTCTTGTTTTTGGATATTACGTTCTATAAAGAAATGTGACACTTTAGCTGGCATTGGTGCTATTATTATAGTAAAATGAACACTTTCTGTTTTCTCCGTTGAGATTTCCAGTCACGCATCTTTATTTACTGTGTCCATTCCCTTCAGCCCCAAACCACAAGGAACACAACAGTAGTTGAACAAAAGTTATATTAATTTATTCCTTCCAATAATGAAGAATGCAGACCCTGAGGAACTGTGGGATCACTTAGTAAGTGGCTGTTGGAAAGAATTTACTCTAAGATTTGACCTTTGTGATCAGTTATTCTGGGTAGGGTCTGAGTAAATGGAGCTTTGCTCTGGATCAGATGCTGTCAGAAAGTATGAATAATATGTGGTTGAATAATTTAATAATTATTAATTAGAAGGCAAGAGCTCAAGTTGGGATGGGTAAAGAAACAGTGGTTTTCATATTAGCTTGAATGTGGGAACAGTAATTTTTGTGATTGTTGTGATAATTGCAGTGGCTTTGTTTGTAATATTGATACGTCTTGGTCTACCAAGTTTGATTATGGCACTCTTTGAAATTGTCAGTGTTCAATAGGAGAACATC